GCTTAGTTTCCAGTCCCCTGATCATCCTTGTTGCCCTCCTCTGAACTTATTCCAGTTTGTTAGCACCCTTCTTAAAGTGTGGTGTCCAGAACTAAACACAGTACTCTAGGTGAGGCCTAACCAGTGGCAAATACCAGAGAATTAGTACTTCATGGGATTTGAAACTACAGTGGTGCCTCGCTTAACGCCGAATTCACATAGCGACCCTTTTTTTTGCAATCGCTAATGCGATCGCATTGCGACGTTTTGAATGGCAAAACATCGCATTGCGATGATTGGTAAGCGTTTCGCTTACCGATCTTCACATTGCGATGTTCTAAAAACAGCTGATCTTCGGTTCCAAAATGGCACAGGCCCGACCAGTGGCAAACAGCAGAGAATTCGTACTTCATGGGATTTGAGAACTATATTTCTATAAATGCAACCTAACATTATTGGAGTTTTACTTACAACCTTGCATGTTGTCTGTAGTGTGAGTAACTGGGAGAGACCTTGCTGAGCTGGGGTGGCTGTCTTTATCTGTCCAGCACTAACCAATAGTTCCTTCCAGCTTTTAAATTCAAAGTTAGCCTCACCTCTCTGCTGAGTGTTCTGTCCTTCCCTTTCTCATTGGTTAGTGGTAGCCGTTTGCACTGAAGGGACAGCAGTCATGTCTGTCTCCTGGACTCATACGGCAAGAGTTTGGAACTACAGCTGCATGAGATCATAAGAAGCTGTCTTATGCCAGCTCAAGACCTTTCTGAGCTGGGGTGGCTGTCTTTATCTATCCAGCACTAACCAATAGTTCCTTCCAGCTTTTAAAATTCAAAGTTAGCCTCGTCTCTCTGCTGAGTGTTCTGTCCTTCCCTTTCTCATTGGTTAGTGGTAGCTGTCTGCACTGAAGGGACAGCAGTCATGCCTGTCTCCTGGACCCATACGGCAAGAGAGTTTGGAACTACAGCTGCATGGGATCATAAGAAGCTGTCTTATGCCAGCTCACTGGTCCAATTACCCTTGTTGTCTTCTCTGACTTGCTACAGACCTTCAGGTTCTTTGGCAAAGAGCTTTTCCATCATCACGTGCCTACTGGTCCTTTTTCAACTGGAAATGTCACAAACTGAACCAATGACATTTTGTGTGCAAAGCATGTGCAGTGCCCCCTAACCTGGTGTCACCCCCTTGGGGAACTGGCCTTCATATCCCCACCCTCTAATGCTTGGAACCACCTAGACCAGTGGTGGCGAACCTTTTTGGGCTCACATACCCAAACTGGGGGTGGGGGGACCACAAACAGTGGGTGGTGTGCCACCACTGCAGCAGCAGCGGCAGCTGTGGAACCAGAAGTGGCAGCAAAAGGGGGAATTCCAGCCGGATCCACTACCAGCACCAGCTGCTTCGCCCTCTAATGCTTTGAACCACCTAGACCAGTGGTGGTGAACCTTTTTGGGCTCACATGCCCAAACTGGGGGTGGGGGACCAAAAACAGTGGGTGGTGTGCCACCACTGCAGTAGCGGCGGCAGCTGTGGAACCGGAAGTGGTGGCAGTGGAACCAGAAGTGGCAGCAAAAGGGGGAATTCCAGCATGGAGGTGCCTCAAGACCCCACTCCGGATCCACTTCCAGCACCAGCTGCTCCGGATCTGCCTGCCGAAGCGCCAGCACCATGGCTGTAGCCGCCTTCTCAGGTTTGGCTGTGCGGGGGGGGAGGAGTGATCTGACGATCTATGGCTCGTGTGCTGGCAGAAAGGGCTCCATGTGCCAGCTGTGGCACGCATGCCATAGGTTCACCATCGCTGACCTAGACAAACTTTCCATGATCAGTCACCCCATCTCAGTTGCGCTTGTGCCTCTACGTACTGTATGTGTGTGTGCATGCACACCTGTGTGCATGTACACACTTGTGTATGTGTGTCCAAAGAATCATGTCCATTCAAGAGTGCACTGATATTCAATTCTATTAGAGATTTGTTGCGATTGTCACTGCTCATTCTGCAGATTACACACGCAGCTTTGGATGATCTGGCAAGTCTGGTCACATAGATGGGCACTTGTGCTCACATGCGCATAAGCAATTGAGCACTCTATGAACTATCATGAGCCAGCCCATATATATTTATTAATTCATAATAATAAAACAATCACTAATAGAGGAATTTTGCTGACTCACAAATTATAAGTAGCGCCACACATCCACCAAATTTTGCTGCCACCAGAAACAGACATCAGCTTGAAGCAGGAGAGAACCTTCAAGATTTATGAACATAATAAAACAAAAACATAAAATGGAGCAAAATGAGCTGGATAAAAGAAATAATAATAATAATAATCTGTCTGTGGCAGAGACTACTCAGAGGTGATAAAAGCAAAGCAAAACAGAAAGATGAGCATCTTTCATCTTGAACTGCCAAATCGGGACATATCACCTGTAGCCTTGGAATTGTGAAGATGGAAAGTTAAGTAGCAGAACAAAAGAGAGCCAAGTCTCATCAAAACTGTTCTGAAATCAGCCTTTTCAGAAATGTCAAATTTTTGAGATAATAAAGCTGATGGGGGAAAAGTCAGGGGTGCTGCAGGAATTTTTCAGAGGAGAAAGACAAAACTAGACAATGATATGTTAGCGTCACAACAACACACTACATCTCTTTGTGTACATTAATATAATTAAGAAATATAGGATTCAGGGGTACAAGCTCCCCTCCCTTCCACCACCACCTCAGACATCCTTGAGAGAAGAGAAAGGCTGAATTTCCAAAATCCACCAGAGAAAAAACTTACTGTTCAAATTTTGATGCTCAGATATGAGCATTTGGATTCCGAAATGCCATCCCCTTCCTTTAATTTCTGTTTTTCGAGATGTTGGTATATGTTTCAAGTCAGGGTCAGCTCTACTGCTGAGGGACGTGAGGCAACTAATTCAGGAGGCAGACAGGGAGATGTGTGGCAGAAGCAGCTCTTTGAGCTGTCCCTCCTGAGCTTCCCACACATTCTCCTCCTTTGCAAAACAAAACATTGATGCCATGCTACCTGTTTTGGGCTCCCTAAACAAAGTATTCTGTTTCAGGTTTTGTGGAAGATACTTGCCCCTTTAAAGTAATTTTCAGCAGCCATTCTGGACCTGTAATGGGGAAGAATTGCCATCTCATACCTTACCTCAGGGACGTGGTGGCGCTGTGGGCTAAACCACACAAGCCTGTGCTGCAGGGTCAGAAGACCAGCAGTCATAAGATCGAATCCATGTGATGGAGTGAGCTCCCGTCGCTTGTCCCAGCTCCCGCCAACCTAGCGGTTCGAAAGCATGTAAATGCGAGAAGATAAATAGGGACCTCCTCGGTGGGAAGGTAACAGCGTTCCGTGTCTAAGTCGCACTGGCCATGTGACCACGGAAGATCGTCTTCGGACAAAACGCTGGCTCTATGGCTTGGAAACGGGGATGAGCACCGCCCCCTAGAGTCGAACACAACTGGACAAAAATTATCAAGGGGAACCTTTACCTTTACCTTTACCTTACCTCAGACAGCAGAGTATCTTGCATAGCCTTACAACACGCTACACAGCAAACAGGCATGATGTTTGGAAAAGTCTTGCCATAACTGGCAAAGAAATAAGCAACCAAGATTTAACAGACAGTTACCACAATAACTGTGTACAGTTATTCCTCAATCATCCATCCTATATGCAGGCAGAAAATGGGGGGGGGGAGAGAGAAGCATGTATATTTCACCAGATTTTTCAAGGGGGAATTGAAATTCTGTATCAGTTTCACAGAGATGGAGCTTACCATTAACATTAATTGCAGCTTAGGATTGTTGTTTTTTTAAAGCATGAAACCTTCCAGATGTTATTGGAGCAACTGCACCGTAGCCAGAATAGCCAGTATTGAATTATAATGGGAGCTGAAGTTTAGCAGCATCGGAAGAGCCATCTAAACTAAAATGTATTGGAAAGAAAAAGTGAGTGAAAACCATAAATGAATGAAATGGAATGAGTGATACACAGACCCAAATCCTGTTACATACATTAAACCTGTGGAAAGTGATGATGCCACCAATGGGAAGATTTTCAGTCATTAAAGACTTCCCGCTGCTATCGTATGGCTCATTCAGCTTGCATGCAATCAGTTTCATTGCGAACGAAGTGTGCTAATCCTGGAACAGAAATAGGAAGTCTTTAATGCCTGGATATCTTCCCCTACTGGTGACATCACTCATCCACAGGCGTAACTGTCACAATAGGATTTTGGCCAATAATAAAAAGTGGAAAACCATAAGCAGTTGTGCTCTCACAGACTATGCCCCCTCATAGATGCTTTTTTCACAATGTTCTTGTGCCTTCTTATGTTGTCCTTTCCTGTTTTCTTTCTCAGCCCTTTTTTCTTGCCTTCATTGTTTCTCTTTAACACTGTGGAAAATTCCATTTTGGCTTTACAGCTTGGAGAGACCCCATCCAGTATAGCTGTTAGCCATGTAGCTTGGGGATTCTGGAGGTTTTAGTCCAGAAAAGTAATTTTTCCAAGTTCCGATAGTGCTGCAAACATTCAGCATGTAAAACTGCATAGTAAACATCCTGTCTCAGGAACTTTTCTCCTTTGTGTGTGGGGACAGAAGAAAGGAATATCATGAATCCAATGCATACATTATTTATTCTCTGCATCAGGCAAACCCAGTCCCAGCCAGTGTCAAGATAAGGCAGACGCAATCCTCCAGAGGAGGAATGGATAGGAAAAAAGGAAAAGTCAGAGCAATGAATCATGCTGCGAACTTGGTGGGCAATTCCTGTGTGGGTGATTACTGTGGGCTGACCAAAGCTTTCAATGATTTGATTTATGTCTTGTGACACAGTAGCCATTTCCTTGAGAGCCGCTATCCTCAAACGAGGTGTGACAGAGAGGTCTCCGAGGAATTAATTTCATTTTCTTTATTATATGGGAAGAGAAAACAGATGCCCCCCGAGTTACTATTTCCCTACCATTTCTAATTTTCTAATATTCTCAATGGTGCTTTTTGTTTCATTTTATTGTCACAGATATATGGCCATTATCGACCCTCTGAAGCCCAGACTGTCTGCCACAGCTACCAAAGTGGTGATTGCCAGCATATGGATCCTGGCATTCTTGCTCGCCTTTCCTCAGTGTCTCTTTTCTAAGACCAAAGTGATGCCCGGGAGAACCCTGTGCTATGTTTTCTGGCCAGGGGGAATGAAGCAGCGTTTTACGTAAGTCAAGCAATTCAATGACTATGCACTTTTGCTTGCTTTTGAGTCTGCCCTCAAAGCAGAACCTGGGAGGTTTTACTTAGGAAGAGTGAAGAATCAATGTATCGACATGCTGAGACCATCTATAACCAAGCAATAGTAGATTGATGCTCTGGATCCCAAGGTATCATCCTATCCAGTGGACGTGGACCACTTTTGCAGTAGCAGAGAATCTGCTCCAGACTTCTCAGAGGCTGCCCAAGGCGCTGAATCTTATTTGGAAGGCCTCTGGTAAAGCCCGGACTGTAACCTGGAATGGATTCACCGCTGCTGCAAAATTGAAATCTTCAGGCTTCGGTGCTCCTACCCTTGCTTAGTTTCTCTGGACAGCTTCCACATGTTTGTTATATCCACTCTTCTTTCAAGGCTGTGCTTATAAGAGCAATATGATATCTGTGCTGTGAGAGCAAACCAAAGGCTAAGCAGTTTATAGGTTGGATTAATAAATGACCAAAAACAATCTGCTAAGAATTGGAGGGTGAGGAAAAGAGAGCAAAAAAGGAGAGAAAAGGCACCCACCCCTTCATCATTCCCACCATCACTCCTGCCATCTGATACGAGTAGAAGCAGTGAGTGCACTTCCCCAATGCTCCAGACCTTAAAGGTTTTCTGGTGCTGTGGAAAAGCGTCAGTAAGAATGACAGATTCCACAAGTTCAGCTTTGTCCCAGTGTGACACCCATCAGATGTGTTGGGACTACAACTCCCATCACTGGTCAAGGGTGATGGGAGTTTATTTCTGTCTGTGTTTGAGGAGGCTGCACTTACAGTCCCCTGATCTCGTGTGATTTTAGGTGTAGATCCATCCTAAAGAAACTTGGACCACCATGAACAAATCTGATCTCATCTAATTTTGGAAGCTAAGCAGGACTCCAGTTAGTAATAGGAATGAAAGATTAACAGATACCATAGTACCAAGGATCTCCAGGTAGAGCACTGCCCAACCACTTCCTTCAGCTAGCCATTGGATAGAAAAACATCTGTGAGTGGGATGAGAGCGAAAGGATGCAGAGTGGAATCTCAGCACATAGGAAAGTAAAGTAGGACTGCGGTATCTGCAGGAGATTGGTTCCAAGCCCCACCATGGGTGCTGAAGAACACAGAAGTATCAAATACAGTACAATACTGGCATCCTCTAGTGGCCAGTTCTGGTAAATACACATGGAAACACATGAATACTTATTTCTGGGGGTTTTTTATTTAGTATTTTCAGGCAGTAGATAAGTAAATTAGTGGATATTGATCTCTTGGACAGTGGGTTCCTACTGTATAGTTTAAACTTCCCCCTAATCTTACACTGAGAAGGAGGTTGATTCTCTCTTTCCCCTCACAGGGTTGTGGTAAGGAGAAAGTGGAGGGATGTATGTATGTATAATGTATGTATGTACACATGTATACTTCTCAAGCTCTCTGAAGGAAAGGCCAGATAGAACTGTAATTGTGTATTCTCTCAGCATGAGTTGGAAAAGAATTTGGCAGCTCATAACTGCACTCCTCTCTTTTTGTAAAACCTCTTTCACTCTCCCTGGTGGTAAGGAAAAGGTATGTGTGAGAGAGGAAAGGGAACGAGTGAGAAGGACATTCACCCTAGTCCACAGTCTCCTATCCATCGTTGCATACAGCAACACAAGGTGTCTGATGAAGCAGACTGCAGTTCACAAAAATACGTGTCAAATAAAACTAGTTAGTTTTTAAGGTGTGACTGGATTCTCTCCTTTTTTTCAGTATGCAAAACATTGCCCAAGCCTTAGCAATCTGTGCAAGCTATTCCTTTGCATCTGCATCACTCACTCATCTTCTGCTACTTTCAGGAGTCAAACAGGGGCATCTTCTCCCTTTTTCATGCATATCAGTTCTTATTCCCTCCTCACTGAAGGCAGGGATGTTTGGGACTAAGAATGTGTGACTAAAATCCCCTTTTAGCTTTTAGTTATGTTACCCCAGTCCTCCTTCACCTGAAACCCACTGAATGTTTTTAACAATACAGTCAGACCTTTTGTTCTGAATTGTTGTTTCCAGAAGAATGTGCCAATTCAATGTTTTTCTCTTCCAGGTACCACGTGATTGTGATTGCTTTGGTCTACTGCTTCCCTCTGCTTGTTATGGGCATCACTTATACAATTGTTGGAATTACTCTTTGGGGTGGAGAGATTCCAGGCGACACATCTGATAAATATCATGAACAGCTGAAAGCAAAAAGAAAGGTACTCTACAGTCACATCTTGCTTAATTATGATTAACTATGTAATCATTTGTGATTATGGCTTCTAAATTTTAATTTCAAAATCAGTGGCTTCTTAGCAGAACTTGATGGTATCAAGTACAGAATCCCTTTTTCCATGTAAAAAGGATGATAAGATGGAGTATTTTAAATTATTTTTCACTTTCTTTTTGTTCATTTTCTGTGTTGCATGTTGTTTAACATTTTGACCTTGCCAAGCTTGGGGTTATTGTTGTTGCTGCTGCTACTGTTGTTTTTATTATATTTATTATATTTTATGTTTATTATATTTGCTCTGTCAAAAATGGCACTCAAGGCAGTTAACAAAAACAGAATTCAGGTTTTTTAAAAAAAAACATTAATGTAAACACAGGCTAACACACAATTCAAAATAGATTGGTGAAAGCAAACAAAACATAGCTCTTAGTTATAATGGTGTATTATGTGTATATAAAGGCTAAAGTTATTCCCACCCATTTGAGAATGTTGGGTGTGCATCCGTTTTGTACAAATCACAAATTCTAAACCAAATGAGCTGAATTCTCACCCGCTTGTACAAGGTCCAGATCAAACCAGAATGGACAGATTTGGTCCCAGACGGCAGCAAAATGAATTCACAGCTTCTTTGTATCCAGATTGATTGGGGCAAAAATCACTTTCGCTTGCTAGGTTTTCTTAAAGCAAACACACAAAACAATGCCTAGCACACAAACCTTTAAAGCTAGTTGTCTGAAATTTAGCATGGCTATTCCCCCCTTTAGGGTTCAAGTTTCATGTACCTCAGACTGTGACTACATGGTCAAAAAGCAAGGGATTTGCTAAGCTTATAAAATGGGTGAATTCAAAATATTTTTAATGACCACATGACACAAATGCTGGTTTGAATCAATCCAGCCTTTTTTGCTCTCAATACAGCTTTTTATTCTCTGCCACTAGGAGACTTCTATTTTTTTTCAAGCCAGCATGATTCAAACAGCTTCCCCCCCCCATGTAATTAGTTGTAATGCATTCTTCTAAAGATGGCCCTCATATTCTTTCACCTCCCCCAAACATCCTCCATTTTTTTAAAAAAAACTTCCATATATGAGATTAATACTAGATCACCCTATCACCGTATCACTGGGTCATCATTATTATTTCATGTGATGTCGCCACACTTTTATTTTTTGTTCCTTTTCTTCTTTGACGTCTGCTGCTTCTTGGGAGAACTCACTAGCCTTAATCCAATTGCTAGTCCATCCAAAAGTAGATTTATTGAACCATTTGCTGGATGGTGAGGCAACATCTATGTAATCCCATTGATTCAATGGTTGAAATCCTGTTGTCTAGCATAAGAACATCTGTAACTTTCAGTCTGTTCTGAACTGGCAAATAAATCTCCACACACTTCTTAATCAAATGTATGTGCGTGCGCGCGCGCACACACACACACACACACACACAAGAATTGCAGTGGATAGTTTGTTAACAACAAACTGAAAGCTAGAAATATTTCTCTCGTAAGCAATGGGATTTTATCCAATGTGTTTAGTGTTGCTGGGATTACAAATTGTTTTCAGGCTAATGTTTTGATGTGATAATGTTTTCATTTATCATCATTGTCACCATCTTAGAACTGAAGAACTGGAAGTGACCCTATGAATCATGAGTCCAGCCTCTGTCAAGGAGGCACAGTGGGGAATCAAACTCCCAGCATCTGATTCTGCAGCCAGATCATAGGATCATAGAATAGTGAAGTTGGAAGGGGCCTATAAGTCCATCAAGTCCAACCCCCTGCTCAATGCAGGAACACAAATCAAAGGATATCTGTCAGGTTGTTGTCTGAGTTTCTCTTGAATGCCTCCAGTGATGGAGCACTCACCACCTCTCGAGGTAACTGGTTCCACTGTCTTACTGTTCTAACAGTTAGGACGTTTTTCCTGATATTCAACCAAAATCCGGCTTCCTGTAACTTGTGCCCATTGTTTCGTGTCCTGCACTTGGAGATGATCGAGAACAGATCCTGCCCCTTCTCTGTATGATAGCCATTCAAGTATTTGAAAACTTATCATGTCACACCTCTGTCTTCTTTTCTCAAGGCTAAACATGCTCAATTATTTCAGTCTTTCCTCATAGAGCTTGGTTTCCAGTCGCCTGATCATCCTTGTTCCAATTTGCCAGCATCCTTCTTGAAGTGTGGTGTCCAGAACTGGACACAATACTCAAGGTGAGGCATAACCAGTGCTGAATAATGGGAATTAGTACCTTGTGGGATTTGGAAACTATACTTCTGTTAATGTAGTCTAAAATAGCATTTGCCTTTTTTATAGCCTCATCACTCTGTTGGCTCATATTCAGCTTGTGATCTATGACAATTCCAAAATCCTTCTCACTTGTAGCATTGTTGATCCAGGTAGCCCCCATCTTATAACTGTGCATTTGGGGTTTTTTTTCCCCCTAAGTGTAGAACATTGCACTGATCCCTGTTGAATATCATTCTGTTGTTTTCAGCCCAGTCCTCTGGCTTTTCAAGATCATTTTGATTTTTGTTTCTGTGTTCCAGGGTATTAGATACCTAAACCATGGAGCAATCCAGCATTTCATTAATGGCCATTAACTTAAGGGACAGTTACATTGGCCATTTACTTCAAACTTAGGTCAGAATGGACTTAGATGAATTTAAATTAAAAACCAGTGACTATATGATGTAAAACTCAATGTGAGCAATGCTGGCGTGGAATCTTTTGAACAGGAAATCATCTTTTCATGTTCAGCTGACAGGGATGGTTTAAATTTGTTCCAATTGACATTACTTTTGCCCACTTTCTGCCCAGTTTGATTGCCTGATCTGATGTAAAAGGACTCTCATGGGTGTGTCGTTTCGCCAGTCATACACCCCTAGTTTCCAAACCATTCCTTTTCTTTAAAAAAAGTTTAAAATCAGGACAGAAACACAACATCATAAAGGTGCTTAGAAGAATCCATTGTGTGTGTGTGTGTGTGTGTGTAGTTTTAAATCAGGACAGAAACACAATATCACAAAGGTGCTTAGAAGAATCCATTTGTGTGTGTGTGTGTGTGTGTGTGAGAGAGAGAGAGAGAGAGAGAGAGATTGCCAATTAGCACCTTGTTACCACCTTAAGGCAGCTTTTACTGTTAGAGCTCCATGCAAACTAAGCTCTCTGCCTGCTGACCTCTGCAAATTGTCCTCTGGAGAGCTATAGCAATTCACTCAGGAAAGCCTAATTTGATAAACTGCAAATGCACATCAGGCCAAGCAGCATTTTCCCTACTGTGTGATAGCACCTTTAGAGCTCCTGTTTTCAACAACACGTGTCAGTTCCTTGAAACATCCAGTTCCTGCCCAAGCAACCCACTGGTATTTCCCTGGTTCGTAATGTAACATATAACTGTTTTTACGAGTATAGTCTTTTTTGTCATTCTGCCTCTTGCTTGAAAAATACTCTAAGCAGTAATAAAAGAAATCCTGGAAGCCTTGGTGAAAACGATGGTCCCATTTATCAGTCTCACTCTTTTCCACAACTTTAATGAAGTTTTGTTTCTCCATTACTGAACATGGTGTACTTTTTAGCATAATGCATGGGATGACATACTTACCTAATAGGTCTCCCACTCATTCCCATCACATACATCCCGATACTGAAAGCTTCAATTTCAGAACCAGTATCAACATATTTCCATTTGCAAGCATATTTGATGGCTCGCCAGAGTGCAGCATGTGTCTGTTCTGGAGGGATGTTCTTTTAAATGTATACTGCCTGCCTCTTTCTCTTGCTGTTTTAAATCTGAATGTTCCTTGTGACTGTGAGCTTCTGAGTACAAACAGAATATAAGCTTACACACATAGAAAACGAAAAGGATCTGTACTGGATATTTCTGAATTCCCTGCTTTCTGCAAAGTGCATGGAGAGAAACTGAACCCCACCAGAATTCTTTAATCCACCCCCTCCCGCCCCCTCCCTGTTAGCACCAGAGAAAAGGAGTTATCCTCTACCTTCCTCTTGTTTGTGTGAGAGTAGGTAAGACCCAATAAGAAAGAACTACCAATGTAAACTGGAGAAATACCTCCAGTGACACAGGGGAGGCAACTCTCAAGGGAAAGAAAATCCAGGATATGTGTCACCCCAACTAGGAAGATCACACTACAGCAAGGGGGGGGGCAAGAGAGAAAGAAGGTGGAGAAACAACGGAACTGTGCGTTCATTAAGCCTAGTGAGGCAACAACTTCTAGCAGCCAAGCTGGAGTGCCACAAACAAGCAGCAAATTATTTCACTGGTCCTGTTGTATTTTGACTCCCAAAGAGGGGAGGAGGGGCTTGCCTTACGTGCCCAAAGCACTCAGTTGGCTTCGGATATTATGCCCCTGGCTTGAACATAAGAAGTACCATTTGCTGCTCCTCTATAGAACAGGAAAAAATTAGCAGTATGGTTTATTCTGTTTAAAAGTCCATTTTATATAATATTGGACAAGCTATTAAATTGCAACAGCTCAAGCTTTTGCTGCAGCCCCACAATCTGTAAATGTAAATAATCAATGTCACCACAAACAGCGGGCATGATCCTCCAGGATTGGATTCACCTCTTCTTGTCAGCAGGAGGAGCAGGGAGAGGAGGGATAAAGGCAGTGGGTAGAAAGAAGGCTTCCTCCCTGTGCAAGCACCCCAAAGCCTACGATGTTGGCTGCCTTCTGAAAAAAAAACAAAGATAATGCAAGATTTGGTCTATTCTACCAACCTGTACTCCTCATTTTTGAGACTCTGTGGCTACAACATGGACTGTGATCTGAGGAGATAATTTGATTAATTGCAAATATTTCAATAAAATTCACTACTGCTCTATTAAGTTATACTAACAAGTTAGACTAGGACTCAGAAGACCTGGGTTCAATCTCTGCTCAGCTATGGAAACTCACTGAGGGGAGTGCAGTGGCAATGGTAAAAGCCACTCCTTAAGCATCTTACTTACTTTGGCAACCTGTTAGGG